TTATTTATTATTATGCTAATTTCATCACAGGGTACCAATTTAGGATGTTGTAGGAGTGTCTAATATCTTCCCTACACATAACCGACACCGAACCCAATTTTGGTTATTGTGCCCATTATTAGATTTTCAAAAATCTTTTCTTTTTCCAATATTTTGAGTAAAACATTGGTGATGACTCTTTCGGACCTTTTTCAAAAACCGTTGGTTAGGGATTAGTTTGATTTCCAAGCATTCCTTAACCGATGAGATTTTTAAAACGGAAGTCCAAACCATCTGTGGGCAAGATTAGAATCTTTCGGGTTTCGACAGATGACGACTCTACTAGGGAAGCTTAAAGAGGGCCAGGCCCAAATAAATGATGAAATTAGCAAAAGTAGAATAATAATTCAAATATTTTTCGCCTTTCATCATGTTTATAAATATTTATCTTTATCTTGTTTATCTTCATCTTTATCTTTATCTTTTATCTTTATCTTTTATCTTTATTTTTTATCTTTACCTTTTATCCTTACCTTTATCTTTATCTTTTTCTTCATCTTTTATCTTCTTTGTAAATATATGCTTATCTATTTTATAGTGGCTTTAATATCTATTGTTTGTTTGAATTCTCCCACATGTTTGAAATAACAAATGTACACAAACCCTTGCACACAACAGTCCTCCCCTCTATACTCGAGGGCATGAGAGCGTAAACATAGGGAGTGGTTGACGTACAATCGGCCCAAGAACGACCTTAGAGCCTGCAAGCCTTGTCGGAAATCACACTCAAGGTGATTCTGATTACTCTCTAAAAAAAACGAGATACTTGTAAACATATATGAGTTCATTGTTGCCATACAAACAAGTCTCACATTGATAAAATAAGAGAAAAAATAAAACTTATAAAATATATTCATACTCCAATGATAGAGAGACCTTTTGGGTGGTGACCAAACATTACTAAAATTTCTCTTATTACATGCGACTTTTCTTGCAAATTTTCATCGCAAGAAACGATGTTCCTACAAATTTTTCTGCGAAATTTTATCTGCTTTATCTGCAAGAAAGTTTCCTGAAAAAAAAAAATATTTGCAGGAAAGTTTCCTGCGAATTTTTTCAGAAGAAATTCTGTAGGAATATTTTTTACAAAAAAAATTAAAGAAATTACTATAAATTCCTATCAACAATTCTTCAACTTCCAAATGCTCACAATAAATTCATCCGAAACATTTGTTTCCATACTTCCAACTTGTGATACATAATCTTTTAAATTCTAAGATTGTAAATTATAAACCTAACATTCAACCATACAAATCAACTTCGAAGGTAAGTGTTGTCCCAACATATATACTCTTTAATTATTTTATTTTCAATCGATGTGGGACTTGAAGTTTTTTTAAAATACTAAACTAATAAATTTAATTTTTTTTTATTTTTCCTGCGGATTAAAATTTGCAGGAAAATCTGTAAGGAAAGATACTTGCAAAATTTTTCTACCATTTAGTAAGCATTACTTGTGAATTTATTTTTGCAAGAAACAAAATAAAATTCTTACAATATTTTCTGTAAATTTTTACCATGAAAAAAATTTTCTATGATCATTAAAATTGTAACAAAATTTGCAAAAATTTATTGTAAATTATTTTTCGTAAAAAAATTTGTAAGAAATATCTTTAAATTATTTTTCGCAAATAAATTCGTAAAAAAATTTTGCGAAATTATTATTGCAAGAAAATTCGCAAAAAATTTCTAGTAGTGAAAAGCAAAACCGTGAAGGCTTAGGCCCAAAGCGGGCAATATCTCATCATTGTGGAGTTGCGTGTAAAATAATCTTTTAAAAATAACCTTCATAAAATATCCCCTCAAACAAATATCATAAAATAACACCTTCAGTGGTATTAGAGTCGCAATGACCCCTCATAAGTCATAACTGATAATAAAAATAACTCTTATAAAATATCCTATTAGACAAATATAAATAAAATAAAAAATAAAAAATAAAAAAACCCTTTCATTTATACGCATACATTGCTTCCAACACCGCATAATATCCAGGAAACAATAATGAAATTCACCACTGCAATCAACACAAGTTGCAAATCTCACACATTCCAACCAAAGAGTGATATAGAAAGTTTTTATAATTATAACTGGACCATTTATTCTATAACATTTATTTGCACAAATATTAATAAGTGCATAGTGACTGCATTATCAGTAGTACAGTCAATCAAGTTTATGATCCTAAACTTCCTATTATTCAATTACGAAAATCCTGAGTGTTTGCATAAATTCTGAGTGTTTGCATAAATTCTCAAATTGTTTCTCCGTTCTTTTGCTTCCATCATTCAGAAACATCGTGTGGTCTAAGCCAGTTACCATTTTATCTACATCGGTGGAGTGAATTTCTTCAAGAACTACATACTCCACGACGATTACCTTCCCATTTTGTGGCAAAGCTTCGTAGAAATTACTTAAAACTTTTATACATTTTTCATCCGACCAATTGTGCAATATGCTCTCCAATGATTAAGCAACCACGTGTTAATAACTTATGTAACACAACTTTTTAATACTAGATAAATTTTATTATTACTAATATTACACATGACCTTATAAACACTAGTGGAAAATTAGTATATTACGTCACCTCTTTATCACTTTTTATTTTTTTCTCTGTAAACCCTCTCCCTCTCCTTTGTTACTGAATCATTTTTTTGTCTTTTGCAGAGGGGTGAACTCTTTGTTACTCATTCGCACACTGTTACAACTCATCAGGTATGAATCAAGGTTTTGTTAACACTTTTTTGCTTCGCATTGTTATTGTGACTATCTGTTCTATTCAATTTTTTCGTTGGCCTTTTCTTTTGCGTTGTTCTATGAAGCAGAACGACCTGTTCTACTTGCAGAACGTCCCGTTCTCCAAGCAGAACGTCCCGTTCTCCAAGCAGAACTACTCATTCTCCAAGCAGAACGACCCGTTCTCCAAGCAGCACGGCCCATTCTCCCTGCAAAATGGGCCATTTTGAATGGAGCACGGGCCGTTCTTCTTGGAGAACGGGTCGTTCTGCTTGCATTCTTATGTTTTTTTTTACTACTTTTTTACGTCGAATTTATGTAATGTCCGACGTAAATTTACGTCAGTTTTACAGGATCGACGTAAATTTACGTCTCCCGCATCTACGTCGGTATTTTTTCTGCCGTAAAAAGCTCATAATATCTAACGTGGAATACCTCTTTTGTACTAGTGACATAAGTAGAGTTTAGATCACTAACCTTCAATAATATAGCATCACCTTTTGGAACACTTTTAAATATATCTCCTTCAACATGCTTTATCCCTTCACAGAATTTGATATATTTCACTCATTAGCAAAAAAATAAAAAAAAAATAATATGTGCATCAAGCTTACTTAAACTAGCCATACAAATTTCTTACACAATAAATATACCTGGACAAATTGGAGCATTGCGTATCACATGGGGTAGATCAAAGTTAATACCGTTTATAGAAGGATACTTGGAGATTATCATATTCAAATTTTGGCCAATGCCACCGCCCACATCGACTAGCAACGATATTTCTTCAAATCCTTCATATGTTTCAATGTATCTTGTTCGTCATGATTATACTTATATTAGACATTGCCTTATTAAAAACATTACTCAAAGTCGGATCTGACTGGATGTGTTCAAAAATAGGCACTCCGTGAACTTTCTCAAATAATCCCTTTTCAAAGTCTAGAAGTACTTCCTTAAAATTATTACTAACATAAAATACAACAATGTCATAAAAATCAAGTAAAACCCTATTATCATAGAAGATATATCCATCCTTAAAGGAGTTAAGTAATTTATAGGTGTAACTTTATTAATAAATATTAATGGAAGGGTGATCATGAGAACTTAAAGCTCTATTTTGAGAAAATAATTCTTTGAGAAAATTTAGTTTTTTTATTAAAAAAGAGAGAAAATATTATGCTACTGTGTTACTTACATGGCCTCGACGATTACTCGCTGGTTGCGAAAAAATGTTAGGAAAACCAAAGAACCGTTAATTTCATCTTTGAGGAAGTATTTACCAGCAGGGGATAGTTGGTAAAACCTTTCAGTGTGACCATGTTGATTTGTGCGCGTGGAACAAATAAGAAGAGAGTTACTCGCTGATAAACATAACAAGATTCGCAAGGCATGCAAGCCAATACACGTAACACCTATCCAATCAGAACAACATTTGATGGAAGACTTGCTTTGGAACCGGATTGATGTTGATTCCTTTTCAAGCTACTTCCTAGATCTTTGGCTCCTTGATTCTTCTCAAGCTTTTCCAAGACTTGCAATGGAGGAGAAGCCTTAGAATCACCATGGTTTGGTGAAGAACACCCTTCAGGAGGCGCCACTCACTACGTCAAAAATATCAATAGATGACGCTTATTTTAATGATAGACAGCGCTTAAAAAGCGCTCTCTATTTGAACGATGTCTATTAATAGATAATGCTTCTAAAAAAGTGCTATCTATGTATATGCAAATAGAAAGCACTTCCTTTTAAGTGCGCTAACTATGTATATGCAAATAGAAACAACTTCCTTTTAAGTGCGCTAACTATGTATATGCAAATAGAAAACACTTTCTTTTAAGTGCGCTATCTATGTCTAAGTACCTACATGACGCTTTTAAAAAGAAGTGCTCTCTATCTTTGAATGTATAGACAACACTTTATATTAAAGCGTTGTCTTTGGTTTATCTTATAGAAAGTGCATGTAGCAAAAGCGCTTTTTATATTCTAGCCGATAGAAAGCGCTTCCTTATATAAACGCTATCTATATGTTTAATTTTTTTTTAATAATTTTTTTACATCATTGACACTTGTTGATTTTGCTATGCATGCAAAGATAAATCCCAAGACATAGAACTATAACAATCAATCAACAATGTAGCCAAATTTGATTCAAAAATATAATGTATAATGTATACATTAAAATTAAAAGATTAGTTTATATAAACCTAACATGTATTACATTTAGTTTGTTGCAATAATAGTTACATATATCTAAACACAATCAATGCTTGTCCATTACCATGCAACTCCTAGTCTTAGACTCAAATAAATAAAAAAAAGGAAATGTATATAGACCTAACATATTACATTTAGTTATTTGACATTAACTCGACAGTAACATATAATCAATGCTTGTCCAATATCATGTAGTTCTCTCTCTTAGAATATTCCACAGCTCATTGGTTCTACAAAGAAAAGAAAAATTATAAGTCACCAACTAGATACAATATAAAAGAAAATGTATAAAGATAAAAAAAATAGCATAAAAGAAAAGTGACATGGCCTAAAAATGCTATAGCAGAACATACTAACCTACAAGCATTTTTTAATGACATATAAACACCAATCTTCTCTAACTTCTGTGATTTGATCAATAGAATATCGTTGCACGCTGCATCTAGGGAAGTACTAAAAAAATAAATAAATAAATAAACCAACTGAGATTGTACATAAAAGGAATTATAAGGAACCAATATATTTTATACATCTTTTGGAATTGTCCCCCCTTCACAATAGGTGATAATTTCCTTCATATACCGATAAATGTAATATCCACAATCGTTGCCATTTGATTACTTCGGACACTATAACCAAAAGGCAAAAATATCAATATAATTAAAATTATCATCAGTGATTGATTTTCAAATAACAATTATAATTTACCTTAATTGTTATCCAATTGATGTTACTTGACTTAGACTTTGAAACCATAGCTCCTCTTTGAGCTCGGTAGGCTTGTATAACCCTAGTTAATAAAGATAATAATATATATATATATAGTATAACCCTAGTTAATAAAGATAATAATAATATATGTATATATATATATATATAAGTAAAAAAACATAGTACAACAAAACACACAAAATATCAACCATTTGTATATTCTTACATATCAAACAAATTCTTCAAATCTTTTCACATACTTATGTCATTCTCCAATGGATCAAGATAATGAATTATCTCCATTTTAAGATTGATTCCAAGCAACACCCAATGATGGCTAAAAAAAAATAAAGCGAATCAACAAATCTAAATTTTTTATAACTTTCAAAATAATATATTGCTAATAAAGTTCTGAATAAAAAAAAGTCTTACCCTGTATTGATTGGTGCAAGAACAAACTTATCAAGCACCTTATTATCAACAAAAAATACTAACTATTTTTTGCATTCGTTCTTTCACAGGTAATTCATGTGTTGTTAACTGAGGGGATAAGAAGAAGAACACCATATGATTTGGCTTAACAATTGTGTGATACAGGTACCTTATGAAAGAAAAACAATATAATAATGAATTAGTAATATCATAAATGAGCTAATTAAAGTTTAAAAGTTAATGATGCAAAGTTTTATGACGTACCCAATAATATAGAAATTGCAGCAGCACCTAGCCATCCATGATCAATAACTTCTCCAATAACTTCTCCATTTACTATTTCTTTATGTTCATCAAGTCCAAATATACCTTTCTCCATTTCTATAGGGGGAGTGACTCTGTCGACTTCAATTTCAAGTGTAAAGAGAGGTAGTTGCACCATTCAGGAAGATTGCGGCGAATTATAGTGCGAGGGGTATGTTGAATAACCATCTTCCCTCGATTTTTTGCTTTTGGTGCAATAGAGTCATTCATATTATTAACCCCTTTCAATCCTCACCACACTTACAAATATCATAAAATAACACCTTCACTGGTATCAGAGTCGCAATGACCCCTCATAAGTCATAACTGATAATGAAAATAACTCTTATAAAATATTTTCTTAAAAAAATATCATAAAAAATAACCCTTTCATTAATACACATACACTGCTTCCAACACTGCCTAATATCCCAAGAAACAATAATGAAATTCACCACTGCAATCAACACAAGTTGCAAATCACACATTCCAACCGAAGAGTGATATTGAAAGTTTTTATAATTATAACTGGACCATTTATTCTGTAACATTTATTTGCACAAATATTAATAAGTGCATAGTGACTGCATCATCAATAGTACAGTCAATCAAGTTTATGATCCTAAACTTCCTATTATTCACTTACGAAATTCAATCACTGACAGAGTAGATAAGACATGAGTAGCTACATGAAAATGAGAAAATCCCGAGTGTTTGCATAAATTCTCAAATTGTTTCTCCGTTCTTTCGCTTCCATCATTGATCAGAAGCATCATGTTGTCGAAGCCAGTTACAATTTTATCTACATCAGTGGAGTGAATTTCTTCAGGAACTATATACTCCACGACGATTACCTTCCCATTTTGTGGCAAAGCTTCGTAGCAATTACTTAAAATTTTAATACATTCTTCATCCGACCAATTGTGCAATACAACCTGCAATGATTAAGCAACCACGTGTTAATAACTTATGTAACACAACTTTATAATACTAGATAAATTTTATTATTATTAATATTACACATGACCTTATACGTAATTGGGCAAAGATAGAGTTTAGATCACTAACCTTCAATAATATAGCATCACCTTTAGGAACACTTTTAAACATATCTCCTTCTACATGCTTTATCCCTTCACAGAATTTGATATATTTCACTCATTAGCAAAATAAATAAATAAAAATAATATGTGCATCAAGCTTACTTAAAACATAGCCAACTTGCCAGACAAATTTCTTACACAATAAATATACCTGGATAAATTGGAGCTTTGCGTATCGCATGGGGTAGATCAAAGTTAATACCATTTATAGAAGGATACTTGGAGATTATCATATTCAAATTTTGGCCAATGCCACCGCCCACATCAACTAGCAATGACATTTCTTCAAATCCTTCATATGTTTCAAGTATCTTGTTCATCGTGATTAAACTTAAATTAGACATTGCCTTATTAAAAACATTACTCAAAGTCGGATCTGACTGGATGTATCCATAAATAGGCACACCGTGAACTTTCTCAAATAATCCCTTGTCAAAGTCCAGAAGTACCTCCTTAAAATTATTCCTAACATAAAACACAACAATTTCATAAAAATCAAGTAATGAAAGGAGAACATTCTAAACTACAAGAGTCATTAGTCCATGTCCCCTAATACTAGGGAAGTTCGACTAGACTTTGGGACTACCATCAAATGCACTCTGAAAAGTCAAAGTCCATGTCCTAGGATAATATCATGCATCTCCTAGGATAATACATTATCATACACCCATTAGAAATGGAAGGCACATATAATAGTATGCAAAGATCTTTGGGAAAGGAGAACATTCTAAACTACAAGAGTCATTAGTCCATGTCCCCTAATACTAGGGAAGTTCGACTAGACTTTGGGACTACCATCAAATGCACTCT